CAATAATAATAAGAATAATAATAATAATATAATAATAATAATAAGAAGAATAATAATAATAATAATAATAATAATAATAATAATAATAATAATAATAATAATAATAATAATAATAATAATAATAATAATAATAATAATAATAATAATAATAATAATAATAATAATAATAATAATAATAATAATAATAATAATAATAATAATAATAATAATAATAATAATAATAATAATAATAATAATAATAATAATAATAATAATAATAATAATAATAATAATAATAATAATAATAATAATAATAATAATAATAATAATAATAATAATAATAATAATAATAATAATAATAATAATAATAATAATAATAATAATAATAATAATAATAATAATAATAATAATAATAATAATAATAATAATAATAATAATAATAATAATAATAATAATAATAATAATAATAATAATAATAATAATAATAATAATAATAATAATAATAATAATAATAATAATAATAATAATAATAATAATAATAATAATAATAATAATAATAATAACTGTTAGGGTTAATTCAATATGGGCAATTTGGGAAATGTATAAAAGAATTAAGGGCAAAAAGGTAATATACTTGGTCAACATAAAAGGGCTTTTAAGTTAAAAAAAAGAAGCTCCCCTCCCCTAGCTTTTAGCTTTTGGCTTAAAATAAGTCATTTCTGACTTAAAATAAGTCACTTTGATAATTACCAAACACTTTAATAAGTCAAAAACTGGCTTTTAAGCCAGTTTGACCAGCTTAAAAATCCATCCAAACAGGCTCTTAAATCTTTGGAGTACTGTTGATTATTTATGCATAGTTTTTAAGTCAAACACTGATTTATTGACTTTCTTTAGAAAAAACTTAAAACCCATTGTTGGTCATTAATAGGGTTTACACGGGGTGGTTTGATTTGTTACTTATCAAACCAAATCAAAATAACTATATTGGTTGATTAATTAATACTATATTTTTAGTAGTAATTGATAAATTGACAAACATATCTACTATTAAACACATAATAGTTATCTTGCTAGTCTATCAATAAATTTTCAACAATGTACTTGTTCATACTTAATCAAATTTTAGTAATTAAACATAAAAGTCAGTATAAAATCTAAAAAATAATATTTTGTTAAATTTCAAAATTACAGATAATATAGCATCTCCAATTCGAAGAAATATAAACGTTTTTTATATCTTGAAATGCAAATATAAAAGAACAACTAAATTGACCTCCAATAAAAACTGATAATGAATTAAACAAATATATGAAGTTTTAAAATATATATTAAAATTATAGTATATGTATATGTCGAACAAACCCAGCGAATATGTCCTCTATTCAAACTACTCGACCAACTCTAACTCCACAAAACTGATTCACATCAAATGGTTTCCCCCTCCCGCCAAAGAAATTAAACTAAACACGGATGACTCATACTCCAAGAACAACTGAGGAGTAATTGGGGGTGTTAGAGATCACAAGGGTAACTGGCTATCATGTTATTGTAAAAATATCAACGCTCAGAATCATGTAATGGCTGAACCGGAGGCCCTTCTTCATGGTCCGCAAGTAGCCATTACCCATAGTTTGAATCCCATTGCTATTGCTTCCTTAATTCATCAATTTCCATCTATGAAAGAGATCATCTTGCGTACCAATTCATGTTGTCAACGAGGATCTTAACTCCTTTCCTTGTTGTTTTCCCATAAAATGAAAAAAAAGAAAAAGAAAAAGAAAAAGGAATGCTATGCTCAACCTATTTATGCTCATGTGATTGACTCTTGCAGGTTGCTTCTGAAGAGGCTGGAGTGATCCGCCATAATTTTTGACATGCCAATCAAGCAGCAAACTACTCTCTCCTTGTTAAAACTAAGAACAAATTTCCAATTCGAGTTCTAAGCTACCAGAATAAAGAGGAATCGAAAACATTGTCAAGAGAATTTTCAGATTGTATTGAAAGAAAATGATTTACAAATAGCTTCTTCAATCTTGATATGATGTACAAATGACTATATAGTAGTCCTAACTAGTAACCACCTCAGCTAACCATAGTTAATTTAATCACCTTTGTTACGTTAACCAAACCTCTAACTAACTAACTGCCTACTAACTATAAATGTGAACATATCTTGTACCAACTCTAACTAACTTTAACCAACTTATAAATCATCTTAGACTGTATCAATTCTTATATTCTCAATACCCCCTTCAAGCTAGATGGTATGAAGATATTCTTCATCCCTAGCTTAGAAATTAGATGAGAATGTTGAAATCGTCCCAGACTCTTAGTGAGGATATCTCTGTGGTAGATATGTATCTTGTATGCACCAAATCAGATTGGATTTTCCCCCTGATGAAATGACAGTCTATATCTATGTGTTTAGTCTTTATATAAAAGACTGAATTAGCAACAATTTGTAGAGAAGCTTTGTTGTCACAATATAGAGGTATTGGCAATTGTAAATTAACATCCAGTTCCTTGAATAGGCAAATCAACTAAACAACTTCAGCAACAACTGAGGTCAGGCGTCTATACTCAACTTCTGAAAATGGTAGGTTGCTTTTTGGATTTCCATGAGATCGGGGAATCACCAAACTTAGCCATGTAACCAATAATGGATTTCCTTGTGTTAAAATAGGATCCCCAATCAACATAAAAAAATCCTTGAAGAGTGTTGGAACCAGAAGAGGACATCAAAACTCTAATGCTAGGAGTTTGTTTGATGTATTTGACCACCCTAAGTGCAGCTTCTAAGTGAGACTGTTTAGGAGCATGCATAAATTGACTGAAGCTTTGGACATCAAAGGTAATAACTGGCCTAGTAATGGTGAGGTACAACAACTTGCCCACAAGTCTTTGATCAATCTTGGATCTACTAAAATAGGATCCTGACTATCTCCAATATGAGTGTCAAACTCACAAGTTGTCAGCTTTTGGTTCAGTTCAATAGGTGTGGCAATAGGCTTAGATCCACTCAAAGCTAAATCTAATATAAGATCCATGACATATTTCCTCTGGTGCATGAGGATACCACTTGTCTGCCTAGCAAACTCAATACCAAGGAAATACCTAAGATCACATAGATCCTTGATCTTGAAGTTGTCTTTTAGATTCTTCTTAGCATCATCTATCAATGTCCTACTACTTTCTATAATCAATAAGTCATCATCACCATAAATCAGAACAATGACTATGCCATCTGATGATTTCATTGTTAATAAGGAATAGTTTAGGTGACTATATTGGAATCCTGCTGTGAGAAGAGCAAATGTAAGCTTTACATTTCATTTACTTGACATCCTTTGTCCCATTCTCTTTAAAACGTTGTGGTAATTACATATACACCTCTTCTTGTAAATCACCTGGCAAGAAGGCATTGTAACAATCCATTTGTTGAATGGATCAGCCATTAGTAGCAGCCAAAGAAATCACAGTCCTCACTGTTACCATTTTCACAACAGGTGAAAATGTTTCTTGATAATCAAGACCTTCCCTCTGACTGTACCCTTTGGCCACTAACCTGACCTTAAACCTTTCTATTTGTCCATCAGG